CAAAGTTCTGGGAGGGGCATTGGGAAGGGTCAAATGCCAAATGTGCTAGCCTGTTAGTACCATACCAGTTGGTATTTAATGGCTGACCCATGGCCTGTTATGAGGATGTCAGGAAATTTCCCTTCCCCTGCGTTTTGCTGCTTCAGACTCTCAGGCTCTGCCCTGTTGGGTAAGGACTAGCCAGCTGAATTCTTGAAATAGAGAGCCAGGGTGCAGGGCTCACAATCAGGGGACTTTGGGCAAGTCACTAACCTCTCTGAGTGTCCTTACCTGCAAAACTGGGATATTGATCTTGCATATCTTACAACCCTGATCAGGGCAGAGTGCCCCATAAACTGCAAAAGGCATACAAGATATAAGCTCCTGTTATTATTAAACTACTCTAGATCCCTTTGTACCTTATCCCAGGAAGCAAGGAATCTGTAGATCTAAGGGGACATGACAGCCTGGAGCTCACCTCTTCCCATTTCTGGACCATCCTCTGGGTACCCAGGATCCATTGCCTAAATGGGCTCAAACTGCAACCAGGGCCTAGGCAGGCTCTTTCCTCAGTCCATCCCCTCAAGGGCAGACTGAGGAACTTCTAGACTCAAGGGATGGCTGTGTGCAGGTGGTCCTGAGTTGGGACATATGGCTGAGATATCCACATCTCTGCACAGATGATCCCCTCCAGGTGTGGGACTGAGTCATCACAGTTCAGAGCAGAACTCTAAGAATAGTCAGAGAAATGCCAGGTTGAAACTTGACCTGCCAGGTTGTTATAAAGGTGTATGTATAAAGGTAGAAGAGAGGATATATTGTACTTAAGTTTGTTAACTGATTTATAACTTACATATTGAAGATACATGGTATATGGGTCTCCATCTGTATTCTTGCCCTGGATCCACAGATGTTCCTTTTTATTACTAGAAGTTTGAATTCCACTTCCTTTGAGCCAGGCCAACCTCTTATTTTCCTCTTTCTGTCTCTTCTATTTTCTCTTCTCTGTTCCTAAATATTCAAAGCTATGCCTTATTTGGAAATGTAGCCGTGACTAGTAGAAATTCATCTAGATTCCAGGGGTCCCCTTTCTTCTCTTTCTTAAACTACTTTTCACCCTCTAGCACAGACCATGGACAGGGACCATGGGTCTTCCCTGGTCAATGGCTGGCCTCCTTTTTGTCTCCTAAGCAGTTTCCAGACAGCGGGTGTCTGTGCCACTTCAGAGCTAAGAAGGTCGAGCTCCATGCTGCTGCCACTATGGTAACCCTGAAGCCATGGGCTTCATCCTGCGGGATGAGGGAGGTCCTAGAAGCCTAGAATTTTATACAAGGACCAACTGTAGGAAAAGTGGTGCTGCCTGGTCCTCACCCATGTCCATCCTGGAAGGGTGCAGGTCCTCAGCTGGCAGAGGGGCAAAAACCAGCTGATAAGAGGTAGCAGCCAACAACTTTACCTATGAGTTAAGGACCCATCAGATTCCCCTACCTCTTCCTTGGCCTGCTGCTGCTGGTGTCATTATCCACATTTTGCCCCATATAAAACCCTTTCCCAATGTCCCCTTTCCTGCTCAGATACCCTTTGGCAATGCAGAGACCCTGATCCAAAAGTAGGGTCGCTCGCCTCTGTGAGTTAAGTCTCCCCTGCCCAGAAGGTAAGACAGAAGAGCTGCTGCCTCCCCTTGCCTTCTGCGGCCCTTGGCAGATGCAGCCTGTGGTCACAGAGCCTCTGGTGCACATCAAATTCTGCTGAATGGCTCTTCCTCTCACCTGTGCCTGAGGTGGTTGTGTGTAGAGAAGGGCATGGGGAGAAAAGGCTTGTGGTGGACCCACTAGGGGGTGTCTCCTGCTCCCTAACTGCCCCACAGACCCTGAGAGAATCAGCCCAAATGCTGGCTATTAGACAAGGACTGTCTCCGCCACTGTTTCTCCAAGTGCGGAAAGTGAACTACCATACTGTACTGGGGGGATGTCGATGCCCCCTGGCAGAGCATTCAACAAGAAGAGAATCTCAGCTTGTGGAAGTTCTTCCTTTTTCAGTTCTTTCAATCCTTATTACTCACAGGAGGCACTTTCAGTTTAATGCCCGAATGTCTTCAACATCTCACTAAAACTTGGCTGTTCTCCCTTTTTAACAAAATGAGCTCAGGCCTTAGTTCAAGGTCTTGCCCGTTAGAACTGAGAACAATAGTTTTTATTTGTATTTCTTTTTATAGTTTCTTACCTTCTATTTATGACAGGTGATATTGGTTTTCCAGTAAAGTAAGGAAATAGTTTGCTCTTTAAAGTAAATGTAAGTAAAACAGCTGAGTTACAGAATATCAAATTAAAAGATACACGTAGTACTTGGATATGGCAAATATCACTCGTTTATTATTTTAAAGGCAGGGAAACTGAAACCCAGGCAGGAGTCCCCAGAACCCAGGATGGTTAAGTGTCTCTGACATTTAGGAAGAACACAGATATCTATCTATCCTGAAAAATCATAGACTGTGTTCTGCTTCTTAAAGGTCATGGACGAGGTAAGGCCGCCTCCTAAGTTCAGGCTCCCATTAACTCCTTTTGTGGCTGGTGTTTTCACTACTTCCATTTTAGACAATAAAAGTGAGAACTTTGGAAGTTACTGATTGTTCCCTTTAAAGTCCGGGCACAAACTTGGCCATTTTCAGAGGCAAAGTGCCTCATCCCTGTAGCTAGCAGTGACTGGTAGCCAGGAGAGAAATGGGTTTAAAAATAGAAGTGGAGAGAAGTGTAAGTAGGAAGTAGAAGACACAGCAGCTTCAACATTTTTAAGGATTTGAAACTCCGGAGGGGGGCAGTTACAGCTCCTAGACTGTCCCTTTTGGACAAAGCAATATGTCCCTGACAAAGCTCTGGCCAAAGTCATCCTTTAATGCTGATGTGACTGTTACGACTTGTTACCATGACTTTGATGATTTGCCCACTAACTTTGCCTCAGCACTTGGTAGGTGCCTGGCATCTGGCTGAGATTTCCCATCTTCTCATCCATCCTCACAAGAAACCCTTAAGTTAAAATCTTGGCCTCTGGGGTTGCACTGCTTGGGGCTGGAAATCTGGCCCTTTGGAACTATGTGACTTAAGGCAAATTAAATCCCTCCCTGAGCCTTAGTTTCCTCATCTCTCTAAAATAGGCATGATAATATAGCTATCTCTTAGGATCAGAATGCTTCTATAACAGAACGCTTATCAAGGGTAAAAAGTACTCAATCAATAATAATGTCACTTATCGAAATTAGCACCAGTGTTACGGAAATGACGGGCCAGCCAAGAAACAAGCACCACTCGGAGGGTCGGAGTACTCAGATGTATTACGCTGGCGGGCTCAGAGAGGCTTCTGCTCCGAAGCTCTGAGCACCTCCAAGACGTGCGCATGAGGTTTTATAGGGTAAAGTACAAGCTTAGGGTATTTGGCCAATAGGCATGAAACAGCTTTAGCAGCATCATTATCACAAAAGTGGAGGCAGGGAGGCAGCAAACCAACATTCCAAAGCCAGATATGTATCTTTGAAAATCCAGCTGGCTAGCAAAAAAACATGAACAGCGAATCAACACTAATTAACCTAGATTTACAAGTTGGTCCAGCAGAACTCAGATCAGTATTCCAATACTTAGATTTGTGAGTTATCCTGCCAGCCCAGCACAGCCTCTCCTTCACATTCCTAGACTTGTGAGTTCTCTTGTTAGACCAGCCCGGCTTTTCCTTCACACCCGGAAGGCAAAATTTCTCTAAGTCATTCTACCTAAGGTCACATAGCTGACCAGGTTGGCTATACTGGTGGGATAAGTCCAGGCGTGTTCGGACCTCCGGGCCTCGAGGCCCAGAGCTGTCATGGCGTAGAAGGGGCTACTGGAGAAGGGCCTAGGCCACCTGGTGGGTGCTCCAAGCTGCCTCCGGCACCCAGCTCTGTTTTCCGGGGGCTCGGACGGCCTGAAACTCACACTGCTGTGACCTGCCAGGTAGGATACGGCCCCTTCACCCCCACGAGGTCGTCCCGCCTAGCGACAGGCGGCGACACCCGGCCCAAGGCGCTCAACTCGGCTGGAAACCCATCCCAACCTTACCACGGACGCCCGCCTGTCAGGAGCCCAAACGACCACCTACCTTGAAACAGAGGCCGGAGCGCGTCTTCCGGGAGCCGTGGGGCATGCCGGGAGCGGGGCCTCACAGCCAATCCCCGCGCGGGGGCGGGCAGTGGTTGCCCGGCAACAGGGCCGGCGCCAGGCTAGGGGCGAGGCCTGTAAGGCAAAGCGAACAGGTGTGGAAGCTGGGAGAGGTAGGAGACCTGTCAATCTCGGAGGAAGCTGCTCTTCCTGTTCCCAGTTCCTTCACTCCCACCTGGACTTGAAGGAAACAGATGATTACCAAGACAAATGATAATAAACAAGAATAAACCATGGAAACTAATAATAATAAAAAAGATACTCATTTATTGAGCATTACTGTAGGCCTGTCTCTTTACAGCGATCATTTCATTTGATCCTCATTTGATCTTTCAGGGAAAGTATGATTACAGTCCCCATTTTGTAAATGAGTAACCAGGAGTTCAGACAGATTAAGCCCCTTGCCCAAAGTAACTCCGCTAGAGAATAACAGCTGGAATGTGAGCCTTGGTGGTCTTGAACCCAGGTGGTCTGTGTTCTTACTGAGTCAAGTAGTGGACACCCATTTCAATTCAGCAACAGAAGTCTTTGTTCCTAGGAGGTGTCTACTGACACAAATGCGCAGACTAGAAGTTGAGATTTATGTTTTATTTGGTAGACATTTCTGAGGACTCAAACCCCTTCAGCCTGGGATGAAAGCTCCCAGATCACTCTGAGGGACTGCTCCGAAGAGGTAGGGGAGGAGCCAGGATATATAGGAGTTTTACAGCAAAGATCAGAACATTAAAGGATTACTTGTTAACTGAAGAAAACCAGACATCTCAAGTTAAAGAATTTAGTGCTTTTCTATGTATGGGAGGAAGCAAACATTTGGGCTCATTGAATGCATTCCTTTGACAAGCATCTAGCTATCTAGGACCATTATCCTGTCCTTTCTTATTCACCATTGTGAGTGGCTGCAGAGGCCAAGCTGCAGGCCTGTCTTCACTGTGGGGTGTTGGCGGCAGCCGCTGATGACTTGATGTCTTCAGCATTCTTTGTTTACTGATATGGCTTGCAGTATTTTTTGTTCACAGAGGCCTACCTGTAGGGGCCAATTCAGGTTTTATGGGACCTGAAGCTTAGACAATTTGGGGGCCCTCTTTAGGAAAAAGAAAAACAAATTGCAAATATAAAATCAGGTACCAAAAAAAAGTTGCTTAGAATGTAAAAAAATCACAATAAAACACTTAATAATTTTACAAATATGTGATCATGTGAACCCATTGCTAGGGCCCTACACAGAGGCATCCCTGACCCTTAGCTGCCACTGAAGTCCCTCAGTCAGGTGTCAAACTACCTTGCAGGCTTCTCTGCCCTTACCGTGACCATCCTGCATCCCAGCCACAGGCTCTCCCTTGGCTGGACCCTAGCAGTGGGTTTAGTAGGGCTTTTAGGACTGTGGCAGCAAGCTTGGCCTGCCGGATGATCAAATGGAAGTGTCAGAGTTAATGCCTTTGGTTGGAAGCGGCCATCAGCACTGATAGACAGAGTTGGTGGCCATTGGCTGTCAAGTAGGATCACACCGAGACATCTTCTTGGTGGTTCTTAGGGTGTGGTCCTACAGCACTTGGGAACCTGTTAGAAATGCACACTCTCAGACCCCACCCTACACCTACAGAATCAGAAACTCTGGGTGGTGGGGCTCAGCAACTGGTGTTTTGTGTTTTAACCACCCCTCTCACACAGCCTGATGCACAATCAAGTTTGAGAACCATTCTACCTCACCGTTTCCCAGAGTTCCCTGTGGCCTGGAGTCCCCATTGTCTACAATGGTAACCAATAACACCCCCCCCCTTTTTTTGTCTCCTTCCTTTGCTTGTCTCATTTCCTTGTGCTTCAACTGGGGCTTCCTAGATCATCTCCAATAAACTACCTGCACATGAACCCTGGTCTATCTGCTTCTAGAGGAACATCAGTTCAGGGGAGGACAGGAGGAGTTCTCACTGCCCAGTGAGGCGGAGGATGGTGGCTGGCACCCACTGGAGGCTGAATGCTCTGTTCAATGCTTTGCTTTCATTGTCTCAGTCCCCACCCTACCCCTACATGAGGAAATTGGAGTTTGGAGGATTTAAGTGGCTTTGAAGCCAAGGATTTGAACCCAAATCTGCTTGAGTCCCAAGGGTGAGCTCCTTACCTGCAAGAGCAGAGGCCCAGCCCACATTATGTGTGCCTGTCACTGCTGCTCTCCTCTGGGCAGGCACGAATTCAGTTTTGTTGTGAGACAGGTTACACTCTGTGCCCTTTGAACACAGCCAGTGCATCCACTGTGGGACGTGACAGCCTGAAATAGTGGGTGTCACAGAGGGCACAGCAAGAGGGGTTCCTTCACTCCCAGTGCAAAGGTCCTTTTATTCCAGCACCCTCAAGGCTGGTCCCTATGCCCTCCAGCCCACAGCTGTGCCTTTAATCCAGAGCTGGAGTCTTTCTATCACAGATACTGGAAATCTGGCCAGCTCTGCAGCTGAGGGTGCTGCTTGGTGGAGGGGTGTGGGTGGGGGAGGGGAGGGGTGTGTGCAGACCCTGAACTCCTCTTCCTTTGTTAGAGGCCCTGGGTCGCTTGGTTCTGCTTCAGGAAACTAGTTTTCCCTCCCTTGTAACCCACCCCTCTAGGCTTATACCCTTCTCGTTCTCTGGGCCCACAGCACCTGAGGCTCCCAGCTGTCTTTCTTGTTAGGGTTTAGGGTTAATTTCTCCCCACTCCCCTTTCTTGTGATCCAGGAATGATGGCTGTGTTAACAAATCGGGGGTAGATGGGGGACACTGACAAGAGTGGTTCTGCTGTTGACTTTGGGCAAGTCTTTTTTTAACCCCTCAGAGCCTTGTTTTTCTCATCTGTAAAGTGAGGAGCCCTACTCCCCTCTCCCGAAGGTGTTCTAATGATGCTCACAGCAAGGTACACACATGACACAGGCATGAGCAGGAATGGGTGATTCTGCAACTAGGGCCTCCTGTTCCCTCCATCACAACAACAAGGGACCTGGGGGCTGCTCTTCGGTTCTCTAGTAAAGACCCTGGTCTGCCAGAAACGTGCTGGTGATGCCCAAAATGTAAAGCTCTCTGCAGGACACTGCCAGCCCTCCCTTCAGGGTAGGAAGAGACAGAAAGAATTACTTTGGCAATCATTCACGTAAGGATGCCCCAATGCCTCACCCTGCCAAAAACTGACCCCTGACTCCGCAGCTGAACTCAAGTCCCTCTACAATAATTTCTCATCATATATTTGCTTTTCCTTCCTGGCAATTATCGTGAGTTGTAATTATTTATCTGCCTGTGTGTTTTTTTAAACCCCCTTTTTAATGGAAAATTGCAAACAGTTAGAAAAGGAAACAGAAGAGTACATGGTCTTTGTGTACCCATCACCCAGCTCAACAACTGCCAGCTCAGGGACAATCTTTTTTTCACCTCTACCCACACTGACTCCCTCCTCCTTGTATTAATTTGAGGCACCATATCATCTGTAAATATTGTGGTATGTATCTCTGAATGATTAGGGCTCTTTTATAAAATATAACCATAATGGGGTTATTATGGTTATTATACTTAAAAAGATGAACAATAATTCCTTGCTATATGACTATTGTTAAATGTCTGTATCCCTCCACCATGCTAGGGGCTTCATGAGGGCTTTCTCTCTTTTCTTGGCTGTATCCACACTGCCTGAGACCTAGCAGACGTTGGCAAGTGTTTGTTGGATGGATGGATGGATGGAGGAATGGGAGACAGGCAAAGGATGCTGGGGACCCACCTGCCCTCCTTTCTGTGGATGCTGCCCCGTTCCTTCAGGACTGTGGCGTGATTGCTGCCTTGGAGGCCCACTGTCACATATCCTCTCTGACAGGAGCAGCACCGCCAAGCTGGAGCCAGAGCTGTAAACCTCTCTCAGTTTCTTTCACTCCCGACTTGCCTTTGGCTTACTCAGGCAGCAAGTCCCTAATCCTCTCCTCATGGCTGCAGCCTGCTCCCCCCACGCAGCTAATTCCACCTTCCGACTTAATCATCATCCTTAGCGCTTTTAATAAGGGGCTTTGCATCTTCAGAGTCTCGCTCAGGCATTAGCTGATTACTGTAATCTGTCCGACTCCCAAGGTGCCAGCTAGGATGGCAGGGGAAGCACCGGGGCTTCCCTTATCCTCTCAGAGCCTCGGTTTCTTCATCTGTAAAATTGGGTGAATGGACCTAACTGGCATCAGTATAGGGATTAAGTCAAATGAAGTACATAAAGTGCCTGTCCCCTGACACGTAAGAAGCAGTCAGTAATGATGACCATTTCCCACTAAAACTCAAGGGATAACTCTCACTGGAGAGCCAAACAGATCTGGATTTGAATCCAGATTCCTCTTCTTAAAGGGAAAATTTCCGAGCCTCAATTTTCTCATCCTTAAAACGGAGGTGACGATGCCTACCTCTCAGAGTTTGCTAAAAGGATTAAAGGACATGATATGTGTCTGAGATGCACTGGGCTGAGTGCTGGGTGCCTAGTAAGTGCTAAATAAGTGCTGGTGGCTATTGCTCTTTCCAGAAGGAAACTGTGGTGCCCTCAGGAAGGTGCCGATTAGGTCTTTTCTCCTCTGTTCCTTCATGGTGTATAGTCTAGGGAAGCCTATTGCACTCCGCATTGTATCCCTGGCCCTTTGCCTGGCTGTGTGTTCAATAAATGAATAAGTGAATGGAGTTGGTGACGTGGGTCTGGGAATAATGCATCTGAACAGGACTGGATATTAGAGGACTTTCAAGATCTTTATCGCACAACCAGAGAAATTAAGCAGGTCAGGGATTATGTCTTACATGTTACAGATGAGGAAATCGAGGTAAACACATTAAACTTGTAAGGTTAACAGCTGGAGCTACTCCCATGCCAGTTTGAACGTGCCAAGAAGAGTATGCCTTGCATTGGCCTCCAGAAGAGCTGGGCCCCTGTCTCAGCTGGAGTTACAGGTCTTCCTGAGATTTTCTAAAGCTGCAGGGTTTCTGCGTGCTCTGCCTTCTTCCTCCTACTGTGCCTGGTGTGGGGCTGTATCCCAGTGCACTTGTTTTGTTTTGCTTTGTCTTTTTCTGCTTATCTTCATTAGGTAAGTTGTTTCCCTCTTTTTTTTCTTTTTTAAAAAATTGAGGTATAATTGACATACAGGTGCACTTGTTTTTAATTACTGACAGTTTCAACTTTAGAGCTGCCATGAACAGCCACTGAGGTTTTTTTTTTTTAAACATCTTTTTTTTAGAGGGGAGGAGGTAATTAGGTTTACTTATTTATTTGTTTTTTGATGGAGGTATTGGGGATTGAACCCAGAACCTTGTGCTTGCTAAGCATGCACTCTACCACTTGAGCTATACCCTCCCCTCCACTGAGGTTGTACACTGTGCAGCTCCAGGGGGACAAATGTCATTCATCATGGTTGCATTGACTCACCAAGAGTTAAGTCCCACTGTGAAGTGGGAGGTGACCTTAGGAGGAGGTGGGGGGCCTCCCCATGCACTGGCTGAACTTGGGCCAGGAACACTGCTCCAGGAACTAGGGCTCCTGGGCACTCCTGATCTGTGCTGGCGGGCAGGGTCCACGTTCAGAGTGGACTCATCTAGAGGCTGACCTCCATTAGGGAGAAGGGCAGTAGAGCCCGAGGAACTGAACCCTAGCTTTAAAACTTGAGGTAGTTAAGGAAAGGGAGCAGCTTTGAACCAGGTACTTTATATACTATATTACATTTTTAAGTAGTAATTTAATTTTGATAATAAAGCTCTTTGAATAGGCATCATTCACCCCTTTTACAGATGACTTAACTGGGCACACGGAAGTTAATTAACATGCCCAAAGCATCACACAGCAAGGAAGTGGCAGAGTTGAGATTCAAACTCAAGCCTGCCTGACTTCGGGACCTGCTGTGTTATCTCTGGTTGTAACCTGTGTTTTTAAAGGGAGGTAGCTGACGTCTAGAGAGGGGCAGTGACCTACCCAGGGTCACACAGCCAGCTAGTGGCTGAGCAGATACTGAACCCAAAAGTCTAGATTCTCAGTCCCAAAATAAACCCATAAGGGTGCCTGGCCCATTAATTAATATTTGTGACAGAAACAAGTCTAGAGAGAGACCTAAGATGGCTGGGGACAAGAGAGCTAGGGGACAGGAGAGCTGAGGGATGGGCATATGTGGAGCAGAGGGTGAAGGACAGGCACGAACCCTCCACATTTTTGGCCTGGGTCTCGGAGAGGAGACCCGTATTTCCTCCATTGCCAGACTGGAGGTGGAGCCCGTAGGGTGAGAGGTGGTGTGCAGCACTCGACCTCTAGGTGGCGCCCATACTGCAGATCTGGACTCCCGTGGGCCACAGGGCCAGAGGGAACTGGTCTGTCCCTGGGGACTGGTCTGTCCAGAGTTTTCAGGATGCCCCTGGTCAACAGCTCCTGTCTTCTGCCCCAGGTCACTTCTGCTCCGGCTTTGGCAGCGAAGGGGTGGCAGGGCTGGGACTGGGAGCTCATATCTCAACCTGGTCTTCCCTTGCAAGCCCTCTGCAGGGCCCTGGATAAAAACCTCCAAAGGGAATTGGGGATCATCCTGATACTCCCATCTACTCGAACTTCAGCAGTTTGCTCCACCTCTTTGAGCCTCACTTTCCTTATCTATAGAGTGGAAATGGGTTTTATTGTCAGGATATTGAGAGGATCAGATGGAACATTTTATAAAATGCCTGGCCCAGTGCAGGTGTTCAACAGATGGGAACTATTAGGACTGTTCTGCGGACAGTGGCTGCCTGTTGTTACTTCTGCCTGACTGCTATTTCTCCTTTGTCTTTCCCACTTTGCAGTGCCAGTCCATCACACCACACCTTACTCATCACCATCAACCTCTTACCCGGCCCCTGTGGACCTGGTACCTCCTTGGAGACAAAGTAGAATGGTGATTAAGCAGAAGGCCCTGGGGTTTCCCTATCTGGGTTCAAATCCTTGACTTCCTGTGTGGCCTTGGTCAAGTTTCTTAGCTTCTGTGCTGCAGATTCTTGATGCTTACCCACTAAACATTCCAGCCTTCCTGGTAATTAGGTTGGAACCACATGACAAACTAGTTCCGACCAGAGAAATGGGAGCAGGAGATGTATGTGTCCCTCTAGGAAAGGCAGTTAGGAGCCTGTGGACCTCCTCTATCCCTTTCTTGCCCTGTCACAGTGGCCTCTGTGTGGCCACAGGAGTGTGTGTGTTTCAAATAGTATAGCTCTAAGATGGAAGTGCCCTGAGTCCCCAAGTCACACTCAGAGGAAAGCCATCCCACCAGCATTGCACTATGTGTGAGCGAAAAGTAAACTTTTACTGCCCGTGAGATTTCAGAGTTTGTTTATACTGCACCATAACCCAGTTTAACTTCAGTAATACAGCCTTCCTTTGCCTCAGTTTTCGCATCAGTGAAATGGGGACAATAATGGTGCCATTCTCATGGAGTCATTGTGAGGATTAAGTGAGATTGTGGGTACAACGCACTTAAGATGTAAAATCTTAGTTTTTATTACTTCTTAGGAAGGTGTAGAAAAGCACAGAATGACTTTAGACTCAGAGCAGGAGGAATCCTGGGAGGACCTTGAACTTGCTCCTCATGGTTAGATCAGGAGACAGAGACTCAGAGGGAGAAATGCCATGTTCAAGGTCATTCAGGCAAAGACTGGCAGAGTCAAGGCTGAATCCTGGGTCTTCTGACCTCTGTCTAGAGCTCATGCAGATCCATCTCAGTCCGTGCTCTCTGTCTGGGAGCTTATGATTTGACTGGAAACAAGACAGACAGACAGAAGGCAAAAAGACCACTGAAGATTCTAGGCTCTGTGCAGGTGGGGAAGTTATCCAGACAGTAAGAATCCTGAGGGTCAGAGGAGGACCTGGGGGTCTGGGAGGTGGGCAGAGAAGGCTTCTGGGAGGTGATGGGACCTGAAGAATGGGTTTCAGCAGAGAGCAAGGAGGACAATGGGCAGTGGCAGGAGAGAGGACAGTGTCAGCCTAGGCTGGGGGATGGGAGGGTCTAAACAGCAGAGTGGCCCATAGAACAGATGAATCAAGGCATAGTCTGTTTAACCAGTCCTCGCCACTTCTCCCATTATAAAGAGCACTGCACTAAGCATCCTTGTACCTACCTCTGTGTATCTGCGTATTCTGAGATAGAGGCTTCGTGGGGAAGAGAGGTTGGGGTGAGGCCCAAAGGTATGTTGGGTCCGCTTCTTAGGGTGAGAGATTGGGGACTTTGAATGCCACATGGATGCCTCCTTCCCCTTAATTCTTCAGGTCAGAATCTCCAGTTTCAGTCATCCACCCATCACATTCACCAATTTTGGCATTTCCATGTGTCACCTCTACTGTTACTGACTCAATTTAAATGTTAATCCCTTGATATTAAATTCTTCAATTTATTTAAAAAAAACTTTTGGTCATCACCACAGAGGAACAAAAACAGTACTAATCGCAATAAATGAAAGATAACTAGCAAAGTAAATACAATGATAACAAATAATACGATACAAACAGACAAAGTTGCCTGCCAGACACTGAGAGAAGGCCTGATCCCTTCTGGTTCAAGGAAGAGGGATTATTAAGTGTTACAAACATAATCGAACAAACTGAGACTTTCTTCTTTGCATGTTTATGTAAACTACAACAGAATGGAAACTGGAATAACTTTCTCACCCTGTGATTCAAAGAGATGACCAGAAGAAGGCTTGCACTGAGCAGGAAATGACTTGCAGGCTACACCAAATGGGGGCCCCTGTCCTCTGAAGACATGAAAATGAGACCAAGCTCTTTTCAGGGGTAGTTTGACTGCAGTAGGGCCCAGAGGTGGGAGGCTGGTCCGGCTGATCACGGGTTGCCTCTCTATTTACTGGACGTTGGGTTTTCTGGTGTGCATGTGACTAATGGGGCCAGGGTTGGGGCTCAGAGCCTAAAGACAGCAGCTCTGGCTTATTGGCCCCAGTCCAGGCTGTGGACACGCTTCTGGGCATTACCTTCTCTCTGCAGCATGGTCTGCAGCCCGGGCTGGCTCTGTGGGCATCACACAGGACCTCACATTTGGAAGGGCTCAACCCCCAGTTTCAAGCTCCATCCTCACCATATTTCCCTAGAATGCGCCCTAGCAGATTAACAAGAGGGAGCCCCTCTGTGTACCCATGTGGAAAGAGCTCCAGGATATATTTTAAGAGAAAAAAATTATTAAGTTATAGAACAGTATGTGAAACATGACTATTTATAAACAACAAATAACTCTTTAAATTATACACACACATATGCAACTTTATTCTTCAATTTTCCCCCTCTATCGGCTGGTTATATCCATCCATTTACGATTCTTCTAGGGTTAGCCTAGAGATAGAGCAGGCATCTTTAATTTATTAACGTTCACCACACATCACATTTTCACCCATTTCCCGGACAATGCAAGGGCCTTAGAACATTTGAACTCCATTTACCCCCTTCCTGACTCATGTGCTATTGTGTTGTGTATTTTAATTTTCTCTCTATATTTTAAACATTAGTTGTATTGTTTTATACAACCGAGATTCATTTGTATTTATCCATATTTCCCTTTCTATCACTCTTCTTTCCTTCCTGAATATCCAAGCTTCCATCTGGGACCACTTGCCTTCTGCCTAAAGCATCCCCTTTATATTTATTTTTCTATTTGAATCATTCATACAAAATTCAAAAGAATCGAAGTGTTCTATGATAGATGTCTCTCTCTCCTACCCCTGCCCCCAGCCTCAAACTATATATTTCCATGTGTACATAGAACATCACTTGGAAGGATACACACCAAATTGAGAACAGTGGTTTGTCTAGGTGGTCTGAAATGTCTGTGATGAAATTCAGGGCTCAGGACAGGCAGCCAGGAGTCCGAGGCTTTTCTGACTGACAGCCTCTCCCTGTGTTCCCCAGTGCACACAGCCCACTCTATGTTATATGAGTTCTCTTACGCCCTGTGAACCAGGAGGGGCAAGGTACCCTATTCCCACGACAGCTAACGACCATGGCTCCTGGGTACCATTTTATATTCATCTGCTCATTCAGTCCTCACAACAACTCTACTAGCATTGTCACCATTTTACAAGTAAGCAAACTGAGGCCAGGAGAATTTAAATAAACTGCCCAAGAGGCAGAGCCAGGATTTGGACTAAACCTAAACAGCCCAACTCCAGATCCCAAACTATTACTAACTCCATTTTACAGATGAGGAAAGTGAGGCCCTGAAAGGTAGAGCCATATGCTCAAATTCACACAGTCAGTAGTGACAGAGCAAGAATGCACACCTGTGACTTTTGGAGTCAGTATTCATACCCCTCCCCGCAAGACCAGTGGTTTTCCTCCTCTGCACATTAGAATCACCCAGAGAGCTCTCAAAAACTGCCATGTGCCGATGTCAGCCCAGACCAATCAAATCTGAATCTCAGATACTATTTTTACACCCCTAGTTCCCCTCCCCAGAGCTTCTAAAGTGTAGCCAGGGTAGAGAACCACTTACTGGGCCCATGGGTAGGCAGGGCTTGGGATCTGATTGCATAGGTTTAGCGTAATTCAGACTTTGTCCCCAGTGACCTTGGGCAAGCTGCTTTTACATATCTGTGCTGCCTCGGTTTCCTCATCTGTCAGATTGGATCATTAGTGTCATCCTCATGTGAGGACTGAATGAGATCATTCATGCAAAGCACTTGGAACAGTGTCTGGCACAAAATCTGTTTTAAATTAATGCTATTATTATTATTATCATTACTCTCTGTGTAGCTTTGTAGAGAGCCTGCCCTTCTCCCCTCAGGTTCTCCATCTGTGAAGACACCTTGAAGTGTGTGTGGATTGTACAGGCTTGAAAGTTGTCTTCCAGCTCGGATGTGCTCCTGTCAGTGTTAGCTGGCTGGGTCTCAAGCCTTTGCAGCCGCCCCCACTCTTTTAGAAGCCCAGCCCTGCCCATTCTGTGTGGAGGCTGCAGCCAGCACGTGCTTGGAGAACCAGGGACGTGCTTCTGTGGGCTGAGTCCAGCCTCTGATTATGGTGTTGATGCCGCTCACAGCCAGGACCTGCTGGGCTGTGCAGAGAGAAATTGCCCATGGTCGGGGGTGAGGGGGACAGCTGGCGAGGCTCCATATGCCCCCAGAGAAAGACAGAGGGCCCTGGATGCAGGGCCCCTTCCAGAGGCAGGACTGGGGACCATAGCAGAGCAGGGGGCCCCAAGCCCACTTTCTACCAGTGCCCAGAGCACATGGTGCCAGTCCTTGCCACCAAGTGCCATTCTGCACCAATGCATAATTCATGCCCCATGTGCCAATCTGTGCCAGCTTTAATTAGCTCCTAACTTTTTGTCATTCATTTTGCTGTGAATACCTTATAAATAAATGATGGGAGAGGGAAACGGAGTGGGGCAGGAACGTGAGGGAAGGAGCCTGGCTCCTTAGCCACTTGGGGAAGGGTTAAGCTTCCACAGAGGGGCCCTGGGGGAAGCCATGTCCTTGGGTTTCCCAATAGGCTCTCGACTCTGCAGATGGGTGGCCCCAACCCACCTTGTTCGCCTTCCAGTGTTGCTCGTTTGTTCACAAGCTGCGTCGAGCCACCACAGCTGTGCCAGACTCCAAGGGCCCACAAACTAAACTCAGGAGCACACATGCTTGGTTTATAGTGGCAGGCACTGCCCCGGGAGAGGGTGAGTGGGCCGGGACATAGACAGGAAGCAACAAACAACTCTGCACCAGCTCAGGGATGGGAAACAAGGAGGAAGAGGAAACGATGCTTCCGTGTGAGGTGGGAAAGGGAGGCTGTTACGGAGGACACCCAGAGGAGAGGCGTTTATGTGCTTTAAAAATAATAATCGACCCTCATGGGGAGGAGAGACTTATATGTGCGTGTTGTTTTGTTTTCACAGTTTATAAAGCACTTGAGTGTGTATTTCAACAACCTTGGGAGGTGTTCCGGGAAGCTGGGGGCTCTTGTGCCCATTTACAGCCGAGGAAACTGAGGCTCAGACAAGTTGGGTCCACTGCATTCTAGTCTACTGAGCCTGGCATTACACCACACTGCCCCGCTCCCATTCCTGGGGAGAGAGCAGGGGTGGAAAGCTGCCTTGGGGGGATGTGGGGCCGAAGGGGAAGCTAATCCAATCCCAGGTGGTTTAATAGGCTGGGCAGATTTCAAACAGCTGACATGGATTCCCTCCCTTCTCCCCTTCCTCCACCTCCTTTCTTCCTTTTCTCCCTCACTGAGAGCGCCAGTGGGCCATCGGATTATTTGGTGTTTTAGGGATACAAAGACAGTGCAGAGGAAGTGTACATTCCTCCAAAATGCCAGGCCAGGGCCACCGTGGGGCAATGCGTTCTCTTCCCCTCCATCCTTTAGCTCAGCTTGCGTCCCCTGCTTACTGTACATCTTCACCTCCAAGCCCATCCGCCCTCTACCTCCAGCATCACTTGCTGAGTGACCCCCAGGCCCCAGTGTGGCATATCAGGCCCTTCACGGTCCAGCCCTTGGCTCCTCTCCTGAGACTCCTCTCTCACCGCTGCCTAGCACACCTTGGTTAGCCCTACTGCCCCACTCCCTGGAGTCTCCAAACTGTGTGATGCCCCTGTGACTTTGCACACACGCGGTACCCCCCTACCTCAGAGGCCCTTGCTGGCCTTATCTGGCCAAGTGCACTCATCTTTCAAGGCTCTGCTTAAGTGGTCCCTCCTGTCGGAAGTCTTCCCAGCCTCCTTGGTTAGGGTGGACTGCACCCTTCTTGGGGTCCCTCTATCACAGCTGAACCTGGTCCTGGCCTCAAGAATGGCATCATCTTATGCCTCCCAACTATTTGTTTCTGTATCTGTCACTCCAATTGGACTGTAGCTTCTCTGAGGACCAGAATGACATCATATACTTCTCTGTGTTCTCATCACCCAGCCCAGAGCCTGGCATACTATGGACCCTCCAGGAAAGCTCGCTAGATGAATGAACAAAGACATGGTCCCTGCCTTTGAGTATCCTAAAGTAGATGTGTCTGAGCTAAAGGTGAACTTAAACCCACTGCAGAGATGTGGCCACTTCTAGAAATACCTGGACAAGGTCTTTCTGATATGGAAGGAGCCAGTTATCAATTCTTTCTCTTCCTTCCTTTCTTCCTCGCCTCCTTCCTTCTTTCCTTCCTTTCCATCTTTCTTCTTTCTTAAGTTTTGGGAAAATGGTGGATGTACTCTGGCAATGCTTACCCTATGCGGTACTGTAATCCCCTACAACTGACAGAAGAATCCTCATATGGTCCATAGCAGGCAGGGTTCTTATGGTTGCCAGCAACAAAAATGAACTCTGGCTACTTGATGCAGAAAATGCATTTACTAATTAGATAAGGCAAGGGAGTCCTTGCTACTTCTGCTGGAGGATAGGCCCAGAAAACAGAGAGGAACCAAAGAAGGCAGGTAGCCAAAAATGCAGCTGAGAATGTAGCCCAGGTCAGGCCTTAAGTGCTGTTGGTCAGGGTTTGGTACTTTCCATAATTTTTAAACTATTCTAAGCTGTTTCCAAACTTTGTGATTCTCCTTAAGATCTAAAGTTAAGACTGGAGCTTCTAATTGGCTGGCCTGGGCCATGCACTGTGCCCTGTGACCAGGAGGCAGGATGATGGAAGACTTTCTCTTTTAGTTGTAACAGTTAAAGCAGAACCTGATCCTGTCCATTCCTTTCTCAGTAGCAGAGGGGTTTGCATGATGCTGGGATGTGAGCAGGTAGCATCTCTATGGTTCTTTATGGTTTCCAAGGGCTTTCATACTGCCACAGAAGGAAGGTGGGTCAGGCGCCATGATTTCAATTACAGAAGTGGAAAGCAAAGCTCAGAGAGGCTAAGAGACTTGTCCAAAGCCACATAAAGTGGTAAGAAGTGCTCCAAAAGGTTTGGGGGAGGGGCAGAGGTTTTCTAAGAAAAGGGAGGCGAGGAGAATTCCGAGCTCTTGGTAGACAATCCTGAAATGGTTTGAGGGATGGAAGCCCCAGACAGGGAAAAAATCTAGAATTCAGAGGATTAATCCCCTGGAGATGAGGAGGTGCTCGTTCAGAGGGCAGAGGCCTAGTTCTATTTTCCCAGCTCGGAGTCTTCTGCAAACACCACCATCCTACCTGTGGCTGCTTCATGTGCAGAACAGCAGAACTGCTGCGTACCTCCAAGATCAAAAAAATCCCACAGCTCCCATGGGGAGAGTCCACGTGCATGCCCCCAGACTTCTGCTTTTGCTGTTCCCTCCACCTGGAATGCCCCTCTGTTTTTGCTGCCTATGGAACTCCTGATCATCACAGCAAAACTCAGCTCTGAGCTTCCCTTGTTCAGGCAACCTTTCTGGTCTCAACTTTCTTGAGAATCCAACACCCGACTGTCCTTGGGCTACCTCTCTGCTTTGCCACACTTACCTTGCCAGATTATACTTGATTTATACGTCTGCCTCCCTCTTGAACTGGGAGTGATTCAAAGACAGGGCTGCATATTATTCACGTCTGGGTCCACAGTGTGCAGTGCTGGCTTGTTTCCCTCAGATCCTTTCCCTGCTATCTTCTGCTGTGCTTTGAATCACAGCTGGGCTGACCCTGCCCCTGCTGGGGGGAGGCCAGAGGGCTGGGGGAAGGGAGATGTCAGAGTGTCTCTTTTTCACACTTAAACTTAAATGTCTTGCAGGTTTTGCAGAACATGGATTCCCTGTTGCAACTCCTTAGTTCTGCAGTAGTACTGTGAAAGGAGCCATAACCAGATGGGCATGTGTGTGTGTGTTCCACTAAAACTTTTTTAACAAACATGTGGGAAAAGATGGGTTTGACCTGAAAGCTGCAGTTTGCTGTTCCTAGTTGAGAAGTTTCTGGCACATAGGTGATGATAAATAAACATTTTTAATTGAAGAAATCTGCTCTTATCTTCTATTACCACCCAATCAATTCTCCATTTTTCCAACTACAGATCAGATCATGACACTCCCACCCCTCAACCTCCATCCTAATCATCTGCTTTAAAGTCTCCACTTGTAGGATAGAGATTAAATCCTGATTAAGGCCAACATGCCCTGCACAGCCTGGCCCCTGTTCCCACTGTGGCTTTATGCTCACTGTCCTCCCCACCCTTTCACTGTTCCAGCCTCTCTGACCCTCTTTCACTTCTTTACATTTGCCAGTTCCTTCCCACCACAGGACCTTTGCCCATGCTGTTTCTCCTGCCTAAAATCCACTCTGTCTTTCCATTGCTCGTCCTTCAGATCTCAGCTCAGTGTTACTTCCTCCAAGAAGTTGTCTCTGATCCCCTAGGCCAGATGCCATTAAAACACTCTTCTTCTTAGTGCTGATTCTGACTGTAATTTCACCTGTTTATGTGTTTCATTGACTATCTGTTTTCCCCATTAGAGGAGCTTCACAAGGCCACAAGGACCAAGCCTTTTTTTCTCCCCCCATCACATCCTGGGAACCTGTTTCCATTAGCTAGCACACAGTAGCAACAGTGAATGAATGATAAAGAACAGGAGTTTGGAATCAGGCAGATTCTAGGTTCAGTATCTGACTCCACCACATGGGCGATTCACTCACCTCCCTAAAGCCCATTTTCTTACTGTAAAACCAGGAGAATGACAGGACCTACCAGAAAGGCTATGTTGAGGATAGAATGAGTTGAGGCCAAAAGTCTCAGCCCAGAGCCCGGCTCCCGGCAGCTATTGTCAATATGCTGATGGCAACAGTGACAGGTCCAGACATCCTGTCATATGACAGATGGTTAAGAGAATTCAGAATGTTTAGCCTGGGGAAGTAAAGATCAAGGTCAGGGAATGACCCTCTCCAACTACGCAAATACGGACTCCTCCTGAATCCAGCTGTCTGGGAAAAGTCATGAAGTCTCCATCCCTACAGATGTGCAAAAAGAAGCTGGGAGACCATCACTCAGGTGTGCAGCAGAAGGGTCTCCTGCATGGGTGAGGGTACTCACCCTCAGATGTCAGGTGACTTCAAGAGTCTCTCCCAATCCAGGGTCCCTCATTTGTAAGCACTTGGGGGCATTTTTGAGCTCGACTGATGGAGAGGGCGCAGATGGGCGTGCATGAGTGGGGTGGGCAAAGGCAGCTGTAAGCCAAGCGCAGCTTAAGTGGCCCCAAGGACTAGAGGCATGGAGCCCCGCTAGGCGCTCAACGACTCTGGGAGCAGAGAGGGGGCGCTTAAAGCCAACAGATGGCGCAGGCTCACCTAGGCGGTGCGCCCGATAGCTCCTTCTGGCTTCCCCGGAGCGTTTCCCTTTTGGCCGGAGGCGCGGGGCGGTTGGGAGGCGTGCCGGGCCACCACTCCTTTGTGTGCCCCTCTCCGGGACAGCGGGCGGCCCTGCGGGGCAAGTCTCCAGCGGGCACCTGGGACCGCTTCCTTGGGTTTCCTCCTTGCCCCTTTGAGGGATTCGTCGAGTTGCCACAGCAGTCGGTGCCATGACATCGGCAGAGGGCAGCTTCGCCAGCACTGAAATATTCATGCCCTGAGCGCTTGGCCGGTCTTCGCGTCGCTCCCCGGGGTCCGAGCAGGGCCAGGGGTGGGGGGCGCCGGGATCCTGGCAGCCCACACTGGAGGGAGGGTAGGCAGCGGGGCGCGGCCGGGTGGGCGGGGGCTGGACGAGGCGGGAGGTGAGGGAGGGAGCGTCAGGAGGCGGGGTCTGGGTGGTGGGGGCCGAGCAGGGCGGAGGAAGCGAGGGAAAGTTGATCGCGGACTTGAGCCGCGGCGGCGGCTCGGCAGACAGGGGCGCAGGCTGGGGTTTGCGGGCGCGATGCTCAGCGAGAAGACGCGTCCGACGGCGGCCGGGCGCTGAGCCGGGCGGGGCGGAGCAACCCAGCCCCGGGCATGGAGCGCGGGGGTGCCGAGCCTTGGGACGATTGGGGCGCGCCTCGTCCGAGCCCGCGGCGCTCCTGAAGTTGCGGCCGGCAAGCGGCCAGCGGCGTGTGGACGGCCCAAGGTGACGCCGGAGCGGCCGGCGCGCAGCGGATGAGCCTTCGCGCGGGCAGAGAGACGCGGCGGTGGCCAGCACCTGAGCAGGCGGCCTGCGGGGGCCGATCCGGCGGAAAGCAGAGCCCAAGGCGCGGCGCGGCGCCGCTCCGCACACTCACACGGTACCAAGAGCCGCGTACTGCCCTTTCCCTCCCCGCTTCCCTCGCCTTTTCCCGCGCCGTTCACCTGCCAAACGGTGGGAAAGTTGGAGCCTTGGGGTCGCGATCGCAGCCGCTGAACCACTTGTTCCCGGCGCGGCGCTCGCCCGCGTCGGGCGCCCGGGGCCTCCTTCCACCCCGGCCCCTGGCCGGCATCCTGCGTCCCGCTCTGAGCCCAGGGCCGGACACGCGGCAACTTTGATTCCCGGGAACTCGAATTCCCTCCGTGTTGGCCTTGGGAGGAAAGGCACTCCACTCCCCACCCTGGTTCCTAGACCCGCGAACATTCGGGCGCTTTGCTCAGGGTCTGGGTCTGTGGTGGGGAGAATTTCGGAGGCAAAGAGGGCATTGGGTTCCAATACCGTCTCCTTTTGCGCTCTGGGTCCCCATGTGGATAGTGGAGATAGGGTGAGGCGTACCTCCACTGCGGGGTAAGTATTGGCACTGGAGGGACCTGAAGTCACGTAGCTCTCCCCTCCTTCCATCACCTCTCTGTGCCCGCGAGAGACCCCAGCGGACTCCTGCAACCTTCCCAATTTGGTGTGACTGTGGGGAGACGCGCCTCTCGCAGAGCACGGAGCCTTGTGCGGCTCGCGCTTCGCCTCCCCAGTTCCCGGGCAGGCCCGCCACGGGCGGTGCTGGTTTTGCCTGGGGGCCTGAGCTCGGGAGCGCAGCCCCTCGTCTCCCTTGCAGGTCAGCCCGGGACGCGTGCAGAACCCGCGCGTTCCGAGGTGGTGGTGGTACCAGACCGGCGGGCACTCAGTGCCTTGCTTCCTAGAGCCACTGTCTCCGTGTTTGGGGCGGAGATCCTGGGCCCTCGCCGCCGGCTACCGCCCCACTGCCACCCCAGCTTCCAGCCCACAATCTTTGTGTCATCAGTGGCCCACTGGGGGGTAAATTAGCCTTTCTGGGGCAGTAGCACACTCCACCCTTCCTAGTAATTCAGAAAGCAAAGCCTGCCTCTTTTTCATACTTTGCCCTCTCAGACTGGAGGGGGCATTGACCCTTACTTTTGAGCCGTTTAGCAAGTATCCCCACCCCAATTTGGATTTTGAAATAAGCTGGAGAGGCAGAGGAGCAGAGAGAGAGAGAGAGAGAGAGAGAGAGAGAGAGAGAGAGAGAGAGAGAGAGAGAGAGAGAGAGAGAGAGAGAGAGAGAGAGAGAGAGAGAGGGAGGGTTAGGACGTAGAGACACGTAGTACGAGAGAGTAGGTAGTGTAGGTGAGGTGTAGGAACGGACGTCGGTCGGCGGTACGGG